CAATTCCCATGATTCCCTAGCACTGAGCCAGGGCAGTTATAGTAGACTGCAAAGGCCCTTAGATAGCTTCAAAAAAGCTGTCAAGACGGATCTCTTCCGGCAGGCCTTTCCTGAATAAAATTTCTTGGCTATAAACAAACCCCCTTATGCTTGTATTATGCTGCCTTTCTTCCCAATAGACCATTTGTTATTAATAGATTTTAACAGATTTTAAAAACTGTGTTAAGTTTAATTCTTTTTTTAAGGGGGGGGTAAGACATATGATCATATACTGTTATTATGTATTGTTTTGGTTTGTTTTTAACATGTAAGCCGCTCTGATTGCTATTATAGTAGAAAAGCGGGATACAAATAAAAGTTTTATTTATTATTTTATTTATTTCCCACATCATAGCTGCCTACTCTGCTATATTCTCTCTGACCACAAACATACCTAATACGATTCCTGAATACTCTTTGACTACAGTATGCCGCTCTTATTTGGCTTTGCCCGTCCACTTTTAGGGTTAGGGTTAGTGCTAGGGAATCATGGGAATTGTTTTTTCTCTGAGACATTGAGTCTTCTCTGTCAGAGAGCTCTGGTGCCACAATAAAATACACTTCCCATGATTCCCTAGCACTGAGTCAGAGCAGTTAAAGTGGACTCAATTTGCACTATTTCTGGCAGTCTGCCCAACCTCCCTTACTGACGGTGTATTGTAAATACTCATACTGACTCACTCCATGTCTCCCAGAAGAAGAGGGAGGGGAAGCTCTTGTATCCGGACCCACCTTGCGCTTGTAACGCTGAGCTGGTTAAACAACCGAGAGGCAGCCCTGTGAGGGGGGTTTCCCTCTCCTAGTGGTCTTTTCCCCCTCCCAAAGTCTCCAGGCCGCCCTCAGCCGTAGGAAAGGCCCGGCAAGAACCGGGCTGCGCGGGCCTCGCCTCAGAAAGTGAGGCCCGAGAGGGAGCTAGGCCCAAGCGAGGCCTAGGTCGCTCCTTCCGCCCCGCAGGGCCTCACCTGGGAGACTGAAGTGGGGGGGGGGGTCCCAGGGATTTGGGGAAGGAGAAGGGAACCTCTTTCCAGAGACCACGGAAGAAAAGTCCCCTCAGGCGAAGGGGAAAGTGAAAGCAACCCCGACCGTGCTGAGGGCAGGGAGGAGCTACCAGAGGGGCTTGTTGTTTGTGGATTGTATGCTTTCGAGTCGTTTCCGATTTATGGCGACCCTATCACGGGGTTTTCTTGCCATGTTTCTTCAGAGGGGGTTTGCCATTGCCTTCCCCTGAGGCTGAGAGAGTGTGACTCGCCTAAGGTTACCCAGTGGGTTTCATGGCTGAGCTGGGAATCGAATCCTGGTCTCTGGAGTTGTAGTCCACCACTCAAACAACTAGGCCACATATTGGGGCATCTGCACTGGAGGAATAATGCAGTTTTGGCACCACTGTATCCGCCATGGCTCCATCCTACGTAACCCTGGGATGTGTAGTTTTGCCAGGCCCAGCTCTCCTTGGCAGAGAAGGGTTAAAGCCTTTGTAAAAACTGCAGACCCCAGGATTTCATGGGGGGAGCGGCAGCACTGAAAGTGGTGTCAGTCTGCCATTGTTCCTACAGTGTAGACCCCTTCCTCCAAATCTGCATTGTAGATTTGCACTTTGGAGGCTTTCCCAGGGTGAACACAAAGGAGGACAAGACACCACAATATGTAAGACATTCAGTAAAAATGCACGGCCAAATAAAAGCCAAAAACACTAATATAAATATAAATTCATGCTTCTTAGTCAGGCTCCAAATGGAGGGCATTGTGGAGTTCCTCCTGGACAGAGGGTTGAAATGGAGGACATGTCCAGAGGACATGTTTTGACATCCAAAACCCTGAAGACCAAAGTTTGGGAATCCCTGACTGAGCATCTCCAGAAGGTAACATGTTTAACTGCCCAATGTTTAATTTTCTGAGCTGGTTAAACAAATGGCAGCAAATACCATCTGGCCTTGGAAACTAAGCAGGGTCAGCCAAGGTTGGATGGGAGACCACCAATGAATATCAGGTGTAGTAGGCTATATTTCAGAGGAAGAAACTGGTAGAACCGCTCGCCTAAAAATGAAATTTATATGAAATTTATGGAGTTGCCTTAAGCACACACACAGACACAACATGTTTAACTACACAATCCTATATAGTTTATTTACAAATAAATCCCCATTTTGAAGTAAATGTGTATTGCTCTGCAGCTTTGCTAAATATAAATTATTCCACTTAAATTCCTTGTTGCACCCAATTCTTAACTTTTTAGCAGACCCGGGGTGGAAGAGGATAAGAGTCCTCACCCCCTAAATCACAGGGTCTCCAAAGTTTTTATTAAAATTCTGTAGGAGCTACTTTTCTGCCAGAATTCACAAAATGGTGTGCAGATGAGGGAGAAAAGGTCTTGCCATCCTGCCAGGCTTCACTGAATATCTATGAAATCACGTCTTGTTTTTCCACTCATTCTTCCAATACCCTTTAACTCTTTATTGAAATGCATTGTGACCCACTGTCCCACCCACCTCTGGTACATTCTTTGTCTCATAGGTCCAAAACATACTGCAGAAATAATCCGGTTTGAGACCACTTTAACTGCCCTGGCTCAATCCTATGCCATTCTGGGAATTGAAGTTTGTGGAGGCCCCTGAGTGGATCTCTGCTCATACACTTGCATTACTTAACCACTTTTGCTGTTGTTATTCTTTGGACACAGTTCTTTATTTTTATCTTTCTACATTTTCATTCGATTTTAGGAACTGGGGCAAGTTACCTTGTATACATTCACACAAATGAGAAGTACATTTCATATTTTTAAAATAATAGTTATATTAGGGATCGCTGCAGGGCTGACTGGAAGCTCTTTTTTCTAATACCATTCATGCTGCCAGATGGGAATCAGTTTAGCAACCATAGTATGAATTGGAAGTCCTTACTCAACATGAACTCTTCAGATTTTCCACGAGTCTTTGATCTTTGGCATAAATAATGCTGAAATCACCTCTTAAGACTTCAATTGTATTTAAAAAATGAAATCCAACAAAAGATAGTTTACTGTCACTCTTGAAATCATATATCGCAACACCAGCTGTCGTAACATTCGTCCACTAAGCCAAAGATGGGCCTAGTTTCAAAAGCCCTTTGCAAGTGATAGGCTCAGAGCAGCTGCCCTTCCTCCAGTACAGCAATGGAGAAGGTGGAGTACTGCCAGTTAAGGAGCCCTTGCAGTTTTTGGCCCCCAACAGAAAAAGGTTGTTATTATCCCTGTTCTACACTGCATCCACTCATTTGGTGCTCTAGTACATAGTTTATATTCACATCAAATAATGAAAGAATGCCACTAGAACATTGTCCCTCTCACCACTTAGTCCTAGGGACTTTCCTTTCCTGCTGCACAATGTATTAGCAGTAAAAAGAAACAGAAAAGGACTGTTCTATTCTTGTACTAGCTTGTAAGAAATACAAGTAAATCATCAGCACATGCTTTTGCAGGTCTATTCAAAGGTAAGTGCTATTGTCTTCATCGAGGCTAACTGCCACCTATGTATTGCAGGCCTGCAGGCCTCTAATATCATTTCCAACATGATTTTGGGGTACTTGGTTATCAAATTTATAGATTTTTTGCCACATGGAGAAATTTAAAGCTTAATATCAAAAGCATATATATGTATGTATGTCCACTGATATGTCCAGGCATGTGCAGGCAGGATTGCAGCTAAAGCAAGCTTTCTAAAACTTTCATTTGTACTTATTCTATCCAAAAGTGGACAAAGCATGGCTACCAAGGCTGTTTTTGCAACCCATCAGTAATTCTTCCATGGTTCCTGCATCAAAAACAGGAAAAACATTTTTCACACTTAGAATCTTCTAGGAGCCCAATTGACAGCTAAAACAAAATAAACAAAACAAAACAAAACAAAAAAGATACAGGGGGCCCAAAACTGCTTTTTAAATATTTCCATATCTCATACTTTCCACTGTCAGTGCTAGAGGTGACAATTTGGTTTCTGGTCTGCTGGATGTTACTCACTTTTGCTCTAGACTAAGATCTGTACCTCTTCTGCTATTGAGGGAGTGCATCTCCCATAAATCACTAGGTTATGCTGGCAAAGCTAATGGAAGTTGCAGTTGAGCAATACCTGGGAGGCTATGCTAATCTAGATCCCTTTTTTGGGGGTTATCAGCAAAATGTCCTTAATTATTCATAATCTGCAAGTTAACATATGCTATGTGGTGGTGGCAAGCAGGCACTTTTTTTATAACCTTCAGAGTGAAAGTGTGCACTTGAGAGAATATGAAATTAATAATGTAAATAATAAACTAGAGCAAAAAGAGTCATAATCCTTATACATTGATAATGTATAAACTCTGGGGCAGTGCTCTAAACTAGCTGCAGGATGACCAATGGTTTTTATTGTTGAAACACAAATGGAAAAGACACCCCAAATTGCATTACAGAATAAAAAATACTTAAAAAACCAAGTCAACCCCTTCCTTGGCACATGATTTTCTCCCCACCCCAACCCCCATATATACTGCACATTTATTTTACTGGGCAACTGCAGCAAAATTAGTCATTTGATGTCTTCCAGCAACAAGAACTATCTGCAGGACGTTTATCATGTATATCTGAAATAGCTACTAGAGCTGCCCACTAGGCACAGTCCCCAACACCCTAATCTGTTTAAATCCTTACAAAACAATAATAATAATAATAACAACAATAAAATTGTGTTCCCAGAAACTAAAGATTTGGTTTCACAGGATTCTGTTGCTGCAAAGCAAGACAGCTTCACAAGCACAAGGGGGGGGGGGGCATGACATGAGTTGCATGAATCAGCTTGTATAAAAACCACATAATTAAACATGCTGCAGTCTCAGCGGGAATCAACCACACCAAAGTCACAGGCTCCAAATGCAGCTTCCCAAGGGGCAGAAACAAGCATAACTCCCATCCATATTAAGTAATGAAGAAACTTGATGTCTGAGCATCAGCTTTGTGAAGAGCTGCACATTCTTTTCCAGGTTGGCTCCTTGCCAGCCTCCAGCATACCTATGTCAGCGTTTCACCTTTTGTTACCTGCCAATAGGAAGAAGAGAGACAGATTAATAACACTATATTCCTATATGCACTTCCCTCGGAGAAAGTACTTTTAAAATCAGTGAGGTTTACTTCTGATTAGACATGCATGCACTATGAGCTAAGTCTCCCAAGGAGGAATGTGGGTGGATGAGTTCTGGTTTTGCGGCACACATGCCCTGATTTTTTTTAAAAAAAAGATGCTCCATTCTGGTGTCATGTAAAACAGAATGTGCCCAGTGTCTCTCTACTTCCTGCCAAACTAGCAACATCTTCATCTTCCTCCTGAAATAGAATATTCATGTTTAAAAAGTCCTATGTAGGTGAAATGAGGTAGAGCTAAGGAAGAGGTCACAGCTAAGAAACTCCGTAATCTGATGCACTTATTTTCCATCACATTCTGCATAAGCGTTTGGAAGCTTCAACTACTGAACAACGTGGCTGCCAGACTCCTACCAAGGGAACACATTATACCAGTGCTCCCATATCTGAATGGCTTAACTGTCCTCTTCTAAGAATAATTACAGGTATTGCTTCTGAATCTGCACCTAAAAAGCCATGGGCTGCATATCCATCAGAGCAGAATGGACAGATAAGACTGGCAGGATCCACTCTTTCATTAAAATCCTTAGATTCTACCAAGAAGACTCAGGTGCAAAGCATCAACCCAGGTAGGTGGAAACACATTTGCAGAACAAGGTGCCTCTGTGCATATGTTCAGGCCATGAACTTGTCAGTACCTGAACTCCTGCTCACACACAAATTTACCTGTGTCTTCCCAAGCTTTCTTGCCTAATGGGACAGAAGACTATATATTGACTATATATCATTGCTATTTTTAAGTGATTGCTAACCTACTGTGAATCATCTAAATTCTGCCAGGAGCTACTTCCTGCCCATCCTTGCCTATCCAGCCTCTTAATGGGACCACTGTTACCTCAGAGTTTGTGACAAGTACATAGGGGCATTCTCAGGACCTATCCCCACCATTATTCAAATCCCTGCCATCACAGTCTTACTAAAGTACAAACTTCCACACCTTCAGGACCAGTTTAAGAACTGGTCACTGGATGCTGTCTCTGAGATGCTACTGTTAAATCAGTTAGAATAGGTTAATCAGTTTACTATTTAAAATGTGTATTTCTAAAGGGCACACTGTAAATTCCTCGTAGACTTTAGGTGATTCACAGTAGATTAGCAATAACTTTAAAATATCACTGATATATAATCTTGCATAATGTGGCAAAAGAATAAAAACTGGTGGGTTTTTTAAGACAATTTCTACTATCCCCAAACTTTTGAG